ACAATGCCAGAGAGAAAAAAGGCATTTGAAACAATTTCATTTCTTTATTCAAAATTGCCATCTCCGGGCTTTTATCACAGTCGATTTCTTTCTAAAGAATTTATAGTAATTTGTTTAGTAAATATTCTCACACACTTTATTCTTTCTATAGATAGCAAGCGTAATTGTTAAAAGTAATAATTTTATCAATTATAATAATTTATCTATTATTAGTCCATTAATAATTTTATTGCTACAAAATTAATATAAAATAATAATACAGTAAAATTATATAGACTTCAACAACTTGGTCTCAGGCAATCTTTATTAATTTCTGTTGCAGTCAGAACTGAGAAAACCAGTGTAATTTTTTTTGTCACAGACTTTTCTCTCCACGATTAATCTTTATCAGGGACTCATGCCAGTTGATGTGCATAAATTCTGCATGAGTAATTGGAACATTCTTAGCAGATAAGCTAGTACTCTGTAGCACATACATCTTTATATACATTTTGAGGTTTAAAACAATGAAGTTCACACTAATATCATGGAACGGATTTTTCACTCTTCAAAATTTTTCAAGCAGATATAGCAAACTGCTTTATCTTGGTTTTTAATTGTCAAGTTCAAGAGAGGTACCTAAATAAACAGGTCTCAATTGGCACATGTATCCTCTTCAAGTACTTTGAATTTTTGTATGGGGAGTTTTTTAACCTTAAATTTATTTATATTTGTGCCTCTTTATAATGTACATGTTCTAAAGGTCCTTCTTCCAAAAACCATTCTATTTTAGAGCAGCTCCGTTACATTTTCAGATGTGCTATCATATTATTAGTTACAAAAACACACAGTAGGAAACCCAGGGTCCTTTCTACTTGAGTAGCTTTAGCTCCATGGCAAATTGATCTTAAAAAGAACTCCCACTACTACCATAATGCCAGTTAACGTTATTTCTACTAGGGCAAAGCTAACTTAGAGAGATATACAAAGAAAACATTTCCCTTTAATGCATGAAACATACTATAAAAGATACAACAGATGCTTTAAGTAACAGAAAATCTGTAATTCTGGAAAGTTTCCTTACCTGCTCTACGCCAGAATTTCAGGTGTTTAATTCCAACTGTAATCAATTTATCAGGCATATAAGGATTAATCTTAACAACAAATATCTTATCTTTGCTTCCCCTGAAATGCAAATCAAAACATTTTGAATAAAAATATAATTATTCATATTTTTAATAGGTTTTGGTTTGTTTTTATTTTTGCTAATGTATACCTTTCTCCATCTTGTTAACATTTACGTGCAAATCACTAACAATAATTTATCATGAGAAGGAAGAGTCCTGTTCTATTTTCATTACCCTTCAGTTTCCAAAGCAGGCGAGTAACTATGTTATTTCAGAAATCCACTAGGTGGCATTTTCTTTGCAAAAGAATATATATTTGCATTAAGTTTAGGTATATGGCATTTAGAGCTCTGACAGCTCATCATGAGACTTAAATAAGATTAAAACTTTACGCCTTTAAGTCTCTCATTTTGAAAATAAATTGCCATTCTTATCCACTTTTAATTGATTTTTCTATTTAGAATAAAACATATACTGCTATATCAATTTCAAATAGAAATTTCAGTTGTTTCTAAAAACTTTAAAACCTGTTGTGTGTTTTAGATTTCTTACTATGCTTCTAGAAAACCAACATCTTTCTTCAGTCCTTTAGTTCAAAAAACAGCTTTCAACTATGTTTGTTATCTGTGCAAGGAGGAAATGCTTACTAGTAGGGTTTTTTTTCTTTAAAATGTAGAAGAGCCTCTAACACTAATTTTTGTTCCCTGTTAAAGACTGGCAATAATCTTTTACCCTCCATCATTTTCAGACCACTAAATGAACCAGTAGCAAAAGGCATGAACTAGTTTCTTTCCAAACTCACACTGTAATCTTCAAAGTACAGATGCTGCTCTGAAAAATTCTATTCAATTCCTCTGAGTAGATAGGAGGAAAAACACTCCAGAAACTAAACCTGGTATAAACTGGTTAACGTTTGATTAAAAAAAAAAGAATTAAGTGAGATTGGTGGCTTCAGAGAGCAGGGGGATTTAGAGGAAAAAAAAAAAGTGGGGAAAAAAAATAAATCACATGAAAAGCAGACAAATGAAAGCCCCAAACCAGTATCTTCAGACAAGCCAAGCTAACTGGGCTTCCGACAAATAAGTGGGAAGGGAGTACTCTTCTTTATCTATATCATCTATTCAGCATTTTCATTCCTCACTGGGTAAGAAACTCAAAGTGTGTTTAAAAAGGAGAGTAAATGTCATTAAAGAGCAATAATGAACTTAGTGTATAAAGAGGAAGTTGATACTTTTTAAATTGTATCTGCAGAGAATAATAAATCCCTTTCAAACCTACTGAGAACAGTATTTAGACTATATGTACTGAATGCAGATAGAGTGGGGAAAACCCCACTCACAGTACTCCTGTATTTAAAGCAATAGATCCTTAAAAACAACAAAGTCAAAGGTTTCAAAAACATTGCTCAACATTGGAAATAAGATTCTATCTTGTAGATTAAAACTCTATTTAATAAATGTATATGAAATAATCTGTGCAGAGTCAAAAGAACTTCCAAAATATTTAACCTTTCGAGGTTACTTAGTCCAACTTCCTAAAGTTGGCTCTGCTTTTCAAAAAGTTAAATCATGCTGCTCATGATTCAGAGAGGAAAAGGAAAGAACCTTGAAGAGAACTGAGCAAAACAACTGCAAATTACTATCCCAAGAAAGATGTGACCTCTGATGAAAAGATCTGAAAAGCAGAGCGTACATCACCACCTCTGGGAAGGATAACAGAAGTGCATGGAGTGAGTTTTAAAGAAATTATTTCAGAACACATCAAATACAGGTAAATAAACTTTATCTTCTATGTCTTCTTTCTTCACCAGTTCAGTTGTCACTGTAGTAATTCTTGTGGACTCTATTGGAGCTGCAGTTTTCTCTTCCAAAGAAAGTTTTAAGGCTCTGCTAAATGTTATCACCTGTACCACTTAAGTGATAGAAACTGCTAATTTATTGGAGAACTATTATTCTTTAAAGAATATATTTTGCTTATTGTCATTTGAGAGTAAATCTAGGTACAAATTTTAAAACAAAGTTAAATTCATACCTTACTGCTGAAAGTTTTTCTCCTTTCTTCCAATCCCAGAGTACAATAGTGTGATTATCATCTATTCCAACAGAAGCCAATCGTTTCCCATCCGCTAGAAAAATAAATTTACGATTAAGAGAGGAGATAGATAATATTATGTTGCAATAATAAGAAACCATATTAAAGAATATTATAACTTACAAATATTATAAGAAGAATGTACAAACAGGTAAATAATCATAAGATGTGCTTAGAGGCCCCTCTGTTATCTGTTTGCTTTTAAACTTAAGTGGTCAGTTGGATGGAGTTCTAAAAATTGCACCTAGATCCTCTGTGTTTCTATCAAATCCTTTGTTCAGCTAGTTGTCGACATAGTTGCACAAAAACCTTAATCACAGGTGTATTGTGAGAATTTTCTGTTCACTCTGAAAATCCCTGTTCATTTCTAACAGGAAAGCATTGAAGCTATACTATGAAGTTTATGAAATACCCTTAAACTTAGTAATAGCATGAAGTCTCTGAGAAGCTCTGACACGTATCCCACATTAATCTCCAGGAAAGAAGTTATTTGTGCTCATTTGTCATCAACGACTTTCTGACACGTACCCATCTTTGAAATTGCTATGCATCCATGCCAGAATTTGGGAAATGAGATTCATGTCTTGAAAAAGGAGAACCAAAGAAAGGTAAGAAGCATCAAAGACTCCAAACTACTCATCTTTGTGATCACACATCTTCACTGTGAGGTTAGTGATTCTATCTAGTAAATCCAAACCATTAAAGAATGAATATAAGCCAGTGGAGAAGAAGAAATTTAACATTTGTACAGGAATTCAAGGCATGGGGTGCAAAAATCTCAAAAGATTTAACTAACAGTCTCTTATGCTAGTATAAGGTAGAGAGAGGGGCTGGGTTTCTGCCCAGAAGAACTCCATAACTGGACTTTCTGAATTTATCAGTGTGCTACCCAATTGGCTTGTAGGATTTCATTTTTAAAAAGTGCCCACTTGATCACTTTGCTCAAAAATTTGCTTACGTAGTTGTAATGCAGACACAACACTCAAGATCTGTGCACTTGCCTCATACAACCAGAAGAAATTCCAAAGTGATCAACTCAGCTGTTAAACAGCACAGAACCTATTCTTGCATTTCCTGATGTGAAAGACTCCACAGGAGCCCTTGTTAATGGATCATGACTTCAAGATAGCCTCTCTCATTTGACATTGGTCACTGGAGAATATTTTTAATACAAAATCTTCAGTGTAAAGGAATTTGCAATTCTTATTAGAACCGATTAGCCTGTATTTTCATACAGAAAAGGAAAATTGTATATAAATAAATAAATAAATACTTATTACCTGAAAAATCAACAGCACAAACACCGTACTGGTGATAGCCCTTTAATACTGAGAGTGGTTTTACTGTTTCTGTATCCCAAATGTGTATTGAGGAATCTCGACCAACCTGAAAGTATATATAACATTTTTTTTTTTCATTTCTCAGTTACTTCACACAGCTGTTTAAAAGTATAATATTGACAAATACTTTAAAAATTTTCCTAGTATTACTCCTGTCTGGTTAGCAGTATCTTATTCCTTCTCCTGCTTTACAAATACCACTCCTCAGTTGGCTCTTTCTTCACTCCAAAGAACTTAGGCACATTAATCACAATTGACTAGAAACCTCTTGGCGGAGGTAGGAAGAAAAGCCCTTCATTGATTGTGCTGTGGCATATTTATTCCATCAATTCTCCATCAGTCATTCCCTGTCTAAAAATAAAAGGTTATTTTTATTGCTAGTATGTAAGCTACACCGCTTGAGAAATCAAGGTGACTTCTCTTGCCTTCTGGTGTCATTACAAGTGCCTACAAGTCAGATTCCAATGCACTGGTAACTGTGGAGTAATCTCCACTAGAATGGCGCTAATGCAGGTAACTAGAACTTGATAAGAAATGGAATATAGCTTATTCTTTCCACTATGTACACGCATTATTAGTCAATATTTACAAGATTACTAGCTATCCCAAAGGTTTTGCATGTCAGTATACAAAAAAGGGCTACAACACCTGAAGAACACTCTCGTCTTTTTTAGACCGGGGGCAGGACCCAAGAAAACCAGGATCTATTTCCAGTTTTGCCACAAATCAGATGTTTGCATGGGATGTTTGTACATCATGTTTGTAAAGCTTTTTGTAACGTCCATTATCAGGAAAATCTAAACCAGTGTTGCATGGGGAGTTTGATTACTGCATTACCTAATTTCTGCAGGTATTGTACTATACGACAGTATATAATGTTTATATATAAAACAGTATAAAACAGAGTGCATCTTTCTGTTGATAGTATAAGGTATTTTAGAACATAGTAAATCCAGGCACATTTTTATTTGTAGTCTTTACTACTCCAAAATTAAACAGAATCAATTTTCACATTTAGGATTTTAATCTCTAAACTGACCTGCAAATTTATGTTAATCTCAAATATGTTTACACAAATTAAGGGCATTATAAGCAAAAGTTTATTTCTATAAAAAATTTCATTCACATGTTCTCCAATTTATATCAATTACAATTATTTCTAACAATTGTTTTTTATAACACTCTCCAATTTATAACAATTAACAACAACAATGATAATAATAATGATAATAATAATAATTAAAAAACCCTGAAACATCAAATCAAACCTTCAAGTCCTGGTGTATAAACATTTACGGGAAGAGATGTTTGTCTGAAAACATGAGTGAAAAAAATTTTCATCTAATTACCCTCTGGTGAAAGATAAAATGAACTATTATAAATACTTTAGCAACATATATACCTGTGTTGCATGTACAAATAGTAAATAACCCATGAAACTGATATGCCAGAATGTATCAACAACTGCTAACTAAGATACTAAAACAAAAAATATTTTAATTGTGCATTTCCTCCACTTGTTATCATGGAGCAGCAACATAATGCTGAATAAAAAGATCAATCTATTCTTAAACAAAAAACAGGTTCAAAAAAACTATTAACTAAAGACTCTTATTGGAATTAATATAAAGAACTCAAAAACCCACTTATGTTGCTTTTTTTTTAAACACGATTCCATCTGCAACAGAAATGCAGTCCTTCACCTGAATAAATGTTGACTGGACTTCCTTTCTCCAAAACAGGTTTTTCTAAATCCAGTAGTAACAACTTCAGATTCTTATTGCAGATAAACACGCATCCTACCTGGCCTGTTGCCACATAGTCCTTTAAGGGATGAATAGCAAGGCAAAGAATGTCATCATCATGACCTAGATAAAAGCGCTGTGTGTTCTGCTGTCGATTGTACACCACTCCCACTGCTGCAACATGGTATACAATTTCACCCGTCTGAGTGTAAAATAAATTGCTTCGACAGTCGTAACCTCTGTAACTAAAGAAAAAAAGTTTGTTCATCAAGGTCATAACCATATATACTGAAACTTTGAGATAAAATTATGCAAGATGCGTTTTGCAGATGTAAAAACTCAGATTACTTACCAATTACTGTTTTGGTGGTTTAAGATTATCAACATATTTTCCCAAAGGAACACCAATTTTTAAATTTAATTTACTATTCAGACATCAGTACTACTAGCATTAGTCTGAAAGTGGCTGCTATTTAATAGTTACTCTCCACAACTAGTTTGGAAGAGGAGGTAATAGCTAATAACTTTTTCATACCACATGGAGAATTAGGGCATGCAACATGTAACCAAATGAAATAGTCAAAACTAAAACTTTGGACATTTTCTACATCCTACTCCTCAAAAGTCAGGCAGCAAAGTTTCCACAAGATATGGACAACACAGATATCATAAAACTGAAAGTTTCTGGAAACTTGCTAACGGAAAACAAATGCATAAATTTTCTTCCGAGCAGTTTCTTTTCTGAAGGAAAACCTGTCTCTTTTCTGTACTGACACAGCAACTGGCATGAGTAGGCCAGTTCCCAACTGAGGTGTGTATGCACTATCACAGTATATACATTTCTTCCTAGGTGTGATTCAGATTCAGCACCCCATAAAAACCAAATGTGGCATTTTCAAAAACGCTAGGGTTCTACATTCAGAAGTAATTTAAGAGGCTCAGAAATCTAAAAAACACTAAACAAACAAGCAAGTTTTAAATTGCTGTTTTTAACAATGATATCTTTGGCAGTCAATGGAGATAACATTTAAAAATGTGTAACTTAAATTCATTCCTTCTTTTCTTCTGATAGAAACAATACTCCGTATACTCCCAACGCATCTTGTTTCTTTGCCATTAATTCCCCAGCTAACCTCTTTCTGTTCCTTCCTCTGTTCTTACAGATCTTCACTAAATCATCTTTTTCATTATTTCACAAAGATGCATGCAAAATCTGCTTGCTGTTCTAAATATATAGCTAAATTTACAAGAAGGGAAAGACACTTGAATGTGTTCGAATTGGCCATGAATTAACTTTATTTAGGGATCATAAGGCTCTACCTAAGTATTTTTGCACCAAACTTCTAATTGAACTTCTAGTTGAAAAAAGCCCTGAAGATGATCAGCAACTCATTCTTGGTAAACAAAATAACTAAACTTTCATGACCACCAACTGCAAACTAAAATAAATCTCTAATGTCTATGTCATAATTCTCATGATATTAATTTCTTTGCTTAATTAAAGGCACGTATCATCAGAACAAATTACATTACTTTTATGAAGAAAACAAATGCAGGATCTTTTTGCAACAGTGCAGGTCTTTAAATTATCACATAAGACAAAGATCCATCTGTACACATACCAGTAAGTGTCACACACAAAATGAATGGGATAGCATTAAGACAATTACTGCATATGAGACAAGTTAAAAGTTTTAAATGACACAGAAATTATGCAGTCCAGGTAGAAAAGTCTTTCATAAAATTATATATAGCTTTCCTTGCGTATGCAGTGCAACCAATGGTCCAGTGACTAATGCAATGAATCTTTAAGGCAGTTGACCAACTTTAGCTTAACGAATACTATTCTGAAATCTCCAGCCATGGATCCATGTTCACAAACACTAGACCTACGCATTATTGGAAAACACCACAGCACATACCTGAACTCGCTGTATCTCTGTTGGCTCACCTACATTACAAGCAATGGTACTCAGATCAGACCATATGTGATTAGAAAAAAATTTCTAAAATCATCTCACAAACTTTTTAAACAGACCAGCAGATCATCCAGGTCCATTTCTTCCCAGGTGCAGAATGTTGCATTTCCCCTTTCTGAAGCTCATCTGATTCCTCCCTGCCCAGTTCTCTAGGCTGTCCAGGTCCCTCTTGATGGCAGTATAGCCATCTGGTGTACCAGCCGCTCCTCCCAGTTTTGTATTGTCTGTGATACTGTGAAGTCCAAAGCTGGACCACAAACAAGCATAGTGAACTTCTTAAACCAGCAAAAACTGTGATTGCACAGAAATAAAAGCTTTTAAATAAGTGTCCCTTCTACCCACTGTTTAGATTGGTACTCACAGGCAGGTTCTTAATTTCGGGTTTGGTCCCAGTCCAGCAACTTTTCAGTGTCTCCTGAGTTACTGTCCCTTCAAGGTCTCTAGAAAAATCTCTCTCTTTCCATTAGGTCTAAGGCTCAGCTATGTGCCTGCTCCTCGTGCTTCTCAAAGTGACCAACAATTTAGACTTACAATACAGGTGTAGACTCGCCAGTCATGCTTTGCTCTCCCTCCAGCCATATCCTTCACTAACACCTTCACCCAGCAGCAACATGTGCAGACCTTTTGAAGGTCATTTCTGCCTGACTCAAAGTGCTGCCTGCTTGCCCTGCCTGGCTGCACCCTTCTTTGATGACCAGTCACTAGTTTTTAAAGGGACATTATAATACACAATGACCTACAGTAACTACGAAGAAAGAAAACAAAAATAACCTATCACAGTATGCAACATCAACAGCTTAAGGACATGACAACATTCAGTGAAGGGTGGGGATTATAAAGGCAGGCACAGTGCTAAAGAAGATATCTGGACCTATCATTGCTCAGATGGCATTTTCCTGTGCTTCACTCTGCATTGTGCTCTGTTAAAAATACTGGATTTCCTTTGCAAGTGCAGAATAATAAAAAAAATGCTGAATATGCAGCCTGAGAATATTTTAAAAAGCAACTACAAAAATATGTATGCTGAAAGAAATAAGGCTTTAGAAATACTGGACATTGAGCAATTTCTTACAAGCTTAGCAGTTACCTATAAAAGTAAAAAGCATTAAGACAGCAAAAGGGTCTCAGATCCTTCTACCTGCAACCCAGAAGCTCAGAATGTTCCCAGGTCTTTTCATAACAATTGTCTATATACCCTAAATTAAGCATAGCGAAACTGAGTATGTTAAAGCAACATATCACAGGACTATCCGAAACATCCAAAATGTATCTAGGATGCAGGAAAATAGTTCTTATTACTGATAGCCATAACTTTTTATGATCAGGACTTTAGATTTTAGCTCACTTCCTCCAGTTATTAAAAAAAAAAAAAAGGTACACAATCAGTTGTTTACAATTAAAACAAAACATATTTTGCCAAAATATCAAGCAGTGCTAACAAAGACATTTTGTAACCCAGTTAAACACATCTGGTCTTTCCCACATGCCACTTTACTAAGTCCCTGTCTATGTAGGTACTTTTCAAGAGAAGGATAAAGTGATGAGCTTAGACAGTCCAAGCAGAGATTAAAAGCAGCATGTTTCAGTGTAGATGATTATTCCATGAGAATATACTACAAAGTTCCAAAACACTTACATCTCCATATTATTAAACCAATTTAGAACTGAGATTATTAGTTAATCTCAGAAAAAGGAGGAAGAGAAATAATTTCATCGCATGTAGAAAACAAATCACAGAAGTAATCTACAAAGCATCTTGATTAGTAACTAGAAACTAAGTAACAATGAAAGCAAGCTCTGCATCATAGTTACTGGTTAATACATAACACAGCACAATAAACATAATACTGCATTCTGCAGTAGTTGATGTTTTCAAGTGGTTTTCAGCAACAGCTAATCAAACCATCAATCCAGGACTGATTCAAGTTAACATGACAGGAACTTTCAGAAGAAAAGACAGCTATCTCACTGCTATGTAGGAAAAAAATTTTGCCATTATCAACATCATGAAGAGCAGGGACTGGATCTAGTTTAAAATCAAGACATGTAAACGTAGATGTTCACATGTGTGTTAGGTATATTAACACCTATAGTTTAATCAACAGTCTTCCAGTCAATATAGTCAATGGAACCTACAGGGCTACTCAGCTGACCAACCAGTCAGCATTTAATTTTACCTCAGTCAAATCACTCCTTATGCTCCACTGGCTACTGATTGGATCTACATTGACTGTGATGGAAGTTTAAATACACACACAAAACCACCTACTTTTAGGCAAACAATTGTAAATTCTTTAACCTGAAGCTGGATCCTACCCACAGTTGCAAGTTACACATCTAGAGCCAACTAAGGGGCAACTTCACAAGTAGTGTCCTCTCTGGCAAAAGAGTCAATGTCCATAGTTTGTCTGATGCTGTAAGAGTTTCAAAATTTCTATGTTACTCTTCAAAGTATTTATTTGGGAAATCTCCAAACATAGTGCAACCCTCCCCCAAAAATCTCCAGAAGAACCAAATGTCAAAATAAACATGGTTGAGGTCAGAGCCTTTAGCATAAAGGTAGAGGTTTTGTTGTTTGGGTTTTTTTAAAATACTTTCGCATGGCAGTTGTGTTTTCTCAACAGGACCCACTCATAGCCTACTCCCTTCAGATGCTATCTGTAGCTATTTGTAGCCCTCTGGTAGGAATACATGCAAGCTGTCATATGACTCTCATTTAAGAGTATGCGAAATTCCATGCCATCTTGAAATGGTAACCAAATTTCATCTTATCATAAGGTCAGTTCAAGGAATATCCTGAAACTCAAACTAGATTATGCTTAGATCCTTTGAATATTTTTATATATATAT